TGGCGACCCCCCAGGGGAGGGCGTTCTCTGTAGCTGCTCCGACCCTATGGAACGATCTACTCCCGGAGATTCGGACCCCTCCCACTCTCACGGTCTTCCGAAAGGCTACCAAAACCTGGCTATTCCGGCAGGCCTGGGGCTGTTGATCTCATGTATGAGGTCCAGCCCTGCCTAGATTGAGTGTATGAAATGATCTTTTAATCTGTTTTTTTCTCTCTATTTTAATTTTTTATTTTGAAATGTATTTCTCTAAGCCACCCAGAGTCCTTCGGGATTGGGCGGCCTATAAATTTATTAAACAGTTAAACAGTTAAACATCGTTTATAAAACCACTTTTAAAAACAATATAAGATGAATGACTAGAGTCAGTTTTTGATGTGGGCTGCCTTATATGTCCAGTAATAAAAAAAATGATAAAAAGAGAAAATTGATAGCATATATTCCAAAGCAGGGCATGAACGATTCAACAATGACACCTGAGACAGAATTTTTCTTTGCTCCTGCTAGACATCTTTGCTCCTGTTTTTCAGGTCCTGCTTGAATATATACTGTAAAAGTTCTATTTTCTAAATTAATTGTTTTTTGCTTTATTATGGAAAGAAACACAATTTATTTTGAAGATAAAGATACCCACTTACCCTTAAAGAGAATCTAGTACTGCATGTAACTGGAACAAAGTCAAGAAAAGGCAAAGAGAAAACTATGTTTAATGTTTCTCCACAGGCAGCCACATAGACTAAAAGAGAACAAGAGAAAAACATCAAGTATAAATTAATCAGACAAATATTTAATTTTATCAAAATGACATTATAAAGATTATTTGCTATTCTATAAGCACCATTAAAAAGTTCTTCAGTATGCTTAATACACTTAAGTATATTAAACTACATAAGTACTTATTAAAAATGAGAGCTCTAGAATTTCTCTGCAATTATTTTCAAAAATGTATTGTGTGTTAGAATGCTCACCTGCAAAATTAAGAAAAAAAATTCAGGAGAAGGCTCACTCTGTAAGTACTGGAACTGAGAAGCAATGGAATGACAAGTAGCTTGAGAGGTTTAGTTAAAAATAATAGAGAGATTTTTTTTCCTATTATTATTTATTTATTTATTTATTTATTTATTTATTTATTTATTTA